ATTCAAACGCCTTTTTTTCGTCCTTCTCAACACCGATTCCGTTTTCATAACAATAACCAACATAAAATGTTCCACTAGCATCACCCATGTCTTCGGCTTTCTGATAATATTCGAACGCCTTTTTTTCATCCTTCTTGACACAAATTCCGTCCTGATAACAAAGACCAACATGACATGTTCCACCAGCATCACCCATGTCCGCGAATTTCTGGTAATATTCGAACGCCTTTTTTTCGTCCTTTTCGATACCGATTCCGTTTTGATAACAAAAACCAACAGCAAATGTTCCACCAGCATGACCCATGTCTGCGGCTTTCTGGTAATATTCAAACGCCTTTTTTTCGTCCTTCTCGACACCGATCCCGTTTCTGTAACAATCACCAACCCTACATGTTCCATCAGCATCAGACATGTCTGCAGCTTTCTGGTAATATTCGAACGCCTTGTATTCGTTCTTCTCGACACCGATTCTATTTCCATAACAAACACCAACATTAAATATTCCATCAGCATCACCCATGTCTTCGGCTTTCTGATAATATTCGAACGCCTTTTTTTCATCCTTCTCGATACCGATCCCGTTTCTGTAACAATCACCAACCCTACGTGTTCCATCAGCATGACCCATGTCTGCGGCTTTCTGGTAATATTCGAACGCCTTTTTTTCATCCTTCTCGACTCCAGTTCCATTATCATAACAAACACCAACCATAAATGTTCCATCAGCATGACCCATGTCTGCAGCTTTCTGGTAATATTCGAACGCCTTTTTTTCATCCTTCTCGATACCGATCCCGTTTCTGTAACAATCACCAACATAAAATGTTCCAATAGCAAGACCCATATCCGTGGCTTTCTGGAAATATTCGAATGCCTTGTATTCGTCCTTCTCAACACCATTTCCATAATGATAACAAGCACCAACATTATATGTTCCATCAGCATAACCCATGTCTGCGGCCTTCTGATAATGTTCGAACGCTTTTTTTTCGTCCTTCTCAACACCGATTCCATAATGATAACAAACACCAACATTATATGTTCCTTCAGCATTACCCATATCAGCAGACATTTGAAAATAAACGAATGCTTTTTGCTCATCCTTTTCAACATTAAGTCCTAATAGATATTGACTTCCAATATTATTTACCCTTTCACTTTCATCAATTTCAGTAGCTATAGTAGTTATATAATCTTCAATATAACATTTTCCAAGTTCGAAAACTCCTTTAATATCATATGAAGCTGTTTTTTGAAAATATGGAAAGGCTTTAGTTTCATCCTTAATAACACCGATACCGTAATGATAACAATATCCAACCATATATGTTCCTTCAAATAGTCCCTTGTTTGAAGCTTTTAAATAATATTCAAATGCTTTTTCCTCATCCTTTACAGTTCCAACACCGTGGTGATAACAGTATCCAATTTGAAATATTCCTAAAGTTTGTTCTTTCTGTGCAGACTTCTGGTAATATTCGAATGCCTTTTTTTCATTCCTTTCGACCCCGATACCATGTTGTAATTGATATCCAAGATTATAGTCTTTAAACGAAACAGTACAAGATCGTTTCATTTTAGTTGAAAAACTTTAGTTGTTTCAAGATAGTAATGTGATCCGTTATCCGTTGAATACAAACTTAATAGTTAAATCCGCGGATATCCGTTGAATTTAATATGAAAACGGATAACGGATCACATTACTATTTCAAGAAAAATATGGGGTTCACCCAATTAGAGATGTGAACTGTGAATTACAGTACATATAAATAAACTGTAGTTTATTTTAAAACTACAGTTTTACAATAAACTACAGTTTATTTATATTAACTACTAGTTTACGGATCGCACCTCTACACCCAACGAATATTAATATAGTAAATTCAGCAGAGTTTAGCTGAGTTTGTCCACCCATTCTACTGTTCTATAGAACATCCAGAGGCGCCTTTTTGCCTTGCTTATAGAGGTTTAATTGTTAATCATTTAAAGATATAAATATAGCAACATACATACATATTGCATAATTTACTGATTCTGAAAAAAAAATCATATGATCGATAGGTTAGTAGAATTTCACGTGAAAGTCAAGTAATTAAATAAAAAAGATCGCTCATACTATTATACGTAAGTAACAAGCCTTGTGTGTGTTCTACTCTGGAATACTAGTGATATTGATGAGGGAACAGATCATTACCAAAGTTCAAACATTTTTTTCCTATAGGAACGCGCGAGGCAAGAAAATGATCTACCACCCGGCAGTCACACGAACCAGTGTCGGGAATTTCTCACATCTCACAGATCACGAGCTGTCGTCCCGTTATGGCGATATTACCAAAAAACTTCCCTGGCCAAAGATTACACAAGTGTAACGTTACATTCTATCTGCAGAAAAGTGCTCCGAGTGATGACTGCGAGGTCCTTCCGATAGGGAAAAATCACGTGTTTGTGTAGCGAGCACTTTTTTGCAGATCTCGTGTAACGTCTTCCCTCATTGGCCGATTGCGTTTCCGAAACCGTCTAGTCCAATCGCGAGACGAGAAATTCATGAAAATTTTCTTAGGTTACGCTATTTAGTATCAATCGTCACTCTAATGTTCGGTGCATGTCCGAGATCGTCAAAAAAGTGCTCCGCGTTCTTCCGGTACTGCCCTGCCTTTTATATCCAGACGATCTTCCATAACAGGCAACTGGTGCTACCACCGATTACCTTAAACGTTCGTTCGATTCTGTCCCATACGGCATCTCATTGGCCCTTCGCGAGATATCGGGAGATTTCACATCACATTTTCCCTCACTCACTTTCAACTCGAGCATTCCACAGATTTCCCAATTTTAACTTACAATTGACCAATAACAACTATTAACATCATGTGATCGAATTTAACTCTAAAAATATCAATAGTAAATTGTATAATGTGTTTTGGTCTACATACTTTTGATTTACTTCATTGGCCAGTGACATGCATAATATACACTTATTGTACAGTCTTAATTGGATTTAATTATTACAAATATAACAATGCACACAATCTGATAAAGTTATACAGGAATTCTATAAAATTAATTATAAATAGTTCAATCTGTTCATACCTGTGATTCACCAATGGACCAACTAACTTCCTCTGAACTCTGTAAACTTGGATACAATTATGCAAATGGAATCGGAGTTGAGAAGGACGAAAGCAAAGCATTCAAATATTATCAGAAAGCCTCAGAAATGGGTAATGCTAATGGAACATTTATTTTTATCGAAATGGAATCAGTGTCAAGAAGGACGAGCACAAGGGGTTCGAATATTACCAGAAAGCAGCAGACATGCATTTGTTAAATATGTCTAAGAAAGTTATCGTGAGTGATATTAGTGGTGCTGCTTCTGAAAAAACAGGTAATTATTATAATTAGTTGTTTCTTATGTTTTAATTAAGCGTGAGATAAATTAATGTTACGCCAAATTTTGTACAACTATAGTTAAAGACTTTTTCTTATTTTGTGGGAGGATTAAGGAGTTCGAATTAATAAAGTAATTATTGTTTAATTAATCATTTCGTATAGTATCTTTTTTATACGTTATATACTTAGTCCATTTTATTAATAATATCTTTATAGGGAAGAATGTAGTGACAAACAAATCGCCTATATCACATTCGAGAGAGAGGCTGCGGCCAAAACTGCCTTAATGTTGACAAATGCTGTAATTGGAGATTCTCAAATAACTGTAGAATCTGCTGATGATTCACCAATGGACCAACTAACTTCCTCTGAACTCTGTAAACTTGGATACAATTATGCAAATGGAATCGGAATTGAGAAGGACGAAAGCAGCTGACCTGGGTCATGCTAGTGGAACATTTAATGTTGGTGTTTGCTATGAAAACAGAACTGGTGTTGAGAAGAACGAACGTAAAGCGTTTGAGTACTGCCAGAAAGCCGCTGATATGGGTAATGCTGATAGAACATATATGGAAAACGATTATAATGAAATTGTTAACGACTTATGTAATTTGTACAATGATGAAAGATCCAAAGGCAAAAATTCAGAACAAACCCTTGACTTATTTGATAAATTTCTGGCAGAAAAGAATCAAAATCCAGAAGATATTATTAATTGGTGCTTGAATAATGAAATAAATTCTACGGTTAAAGTCATTCTTGGAGGTTGTTATCTTTATAGCAAATGGGTTAAAAAAGACGAACGGAAAGCATTATATTATTATCAGAAAGCCGGTGACATGGGTGATGCTGAAGGAACATTTATAATTGGTATGTGTTATCAAAACGGAATCGGTATTGATAAGGACGAACACAAGGCGTTCAAATATTTCCAGAAAGCTGCAGGCATGGGTCATGCTACTGGAACATATTGTGTTGGTCTTTGTTATTATGAAGGAATCAGTGTCGAAAAGGACTCAAAAAAAGCGTTCGAATATTGCCAGAAAGCCGCTGATATGGGTTTTGCTCATGGAACATTTCACGTTGGTTGTTGTTATACAAGCGGAATCGGTGTCGAAAAGGACTTAAAAAAGGCGTTCGAATACTACCAGAAAGCCGCAGACATGGGTCATGCTGATGGAACAAATATGGTTGGTTGTTGTTATACAAACGGAATCGGTGTCGAAATGGACGAACACAAGGCATTCAAATATTTTCAGAAAGCCGCAGACATGGGTCATGCTGATGGAACAAATATGGTTGGTTGTTGTTATACAAACGGAATCGGTGTCACAAAGGATGATAATAAGGCATTCGAGTATTACCAGAAAGCCGCAGACATGGGTCATGCTAATGGAACATATGGGGACCCCACAGCAAAAAGTAGCATTGGGCCAAAAAAATTTTTTTTTTAAAAAATGCAATTTCTCGAAGAATTAAAGTAAT